ATAGTGGTATGCACCTGTAGTCCCAGCTACTTGAGAGGCTGAGGCTGAAGGATCAGCTGACTCCAGGAGGTCAAGGTTACAGTGAGTCATGATCATGCCAGCCTGAGTGACAGAGTGAGACCCCCACTGAAAAAAAAAAGTTAGTTGCACTAAACCCACCTTATTGTTGCCAGTAAGGTGAGGCAGCATGATTCTTTTCCAGGTTTGGAAAACGGGTCATTTTGACCCTGTGAAATATCACACCCTCTAATTCTGCAATAATTTCTTTGACCGTTTTTTCGTTGGTGCCATGGCATCCAGTCAAGAGGTAATTTCTGTAAGCAATCCTCATTGAATGGGGACAGCCCTTGTCTCTGTTCCCTCAGGGAGTGGCAGAGTCACTGTTTGAGGGAGGCTCAGCCAGAGAGCTGGGAACCTGCATAGACATGCTTGGAAAGGCGTCCTGCTGACTTTTCAACCCTGCAGGCTCCCTGACAAGTGAGGGTCCAAGTCTGTCCCTGTTTTGAAGTATAGGGATCCAAATTCAGAAAATGTTTTAGTTGTTCACATGTCTGCTGTGTAGTTATTTATAACAGGGAAAAATCAGTGACAAGCTCAAAGTCTAACAATGGAAAACAACACGTGAATAGTTAAGTCAATAATGACAAACTTGTACAGTCGATTATTATATAACTTTAAAGCAGACTGTGACTAACTTGTAAATTTAGCAATTACTTGATGTAATGCTTATGCTTAAAACAAAAAAATTTAAGTGCCTGGTTGTAGTGGCTAATGCCTGTAATCCCAGTACTTTGGGAGGCTGAGGTGGGAGTAGTGCCTGAGCCCAGGAGTTCGAGACCAGCCTAGGCAACATAGTAAGACCTCATCTCTACAAAAAATTATCCATGTGTGGTGGCATGCACCTGTATTTCCAGCTACTTGGAAGGCTGAAGCAGACAGATTCCCTGAGCCCAGGAGGTTGAGGTTGCGGTGACCTGTGCCACTGCACTCCAGCCTGGACCACAGAGTGAGACCCCAACTCAAAAAAAAAAAAAATTAAGGACTTGTTTGCTGCTCCCTGGGGTGTAACTTAGGAGAAATACTTTGGAGAGGAACTTAGTAATTTCTAGACTTTAAATGTGATCCAGCAATTACATTTCCAAAAAATAAGTTTTACTGAGATCTTATACAAGTTCTTAAAGATTTAAATATCAGAATGTTCATTTCAGCACTGTTTGTACTATGAAATGTTGGAGAGAATCCAAATATCCATCAACTGGAGGTTAGACAAATACTTTAAGGCACATTACAATTGTATATCTAGCAGCTGTGGAAAGGAAATTAGGTCACCCATCCAGTCTGTACATATGACATGGAAAGATGTCCCAAGAAGAGAAAAGTGGCCAGGCACAGTGGCTCGTGCTATAATCCCAGCACTTTGAGAGGCTGAGGCAGGAGAATCACTTGAGGCCAGGAGTTCAAGACCAACCTAGGCAACATAGTGAAACCCTGTTTCTACCAACAACAACAACAAAAATTTAAAAGATTTTTTTTAAAAAGAAGAAAAGTAAGATGCGGAACAGAATGTGTTGTGTGGTCCCATTGCTCTTAAATACACGTTTTTTAAACAAAGGCTTAGGTAAAACGTGCTGAACATCAAACCAACATCAGCTGTCAACTGTGTTTTCAGAGAAAAAGGATTAGGGAGGACTTCCACTTTCTAATTCAGAACTCTGTTGTGTTTGCAGTTTTTACATGCAGAAGACCATACTTTTGGAATCAGGAAAAAAAAAATCAAGATAATTCAATAAAGTACAAAGTCCCATTGACCCACTCTCCTGAAATGGTGATTTACAGTGTGATTCAGTGTTATTAAAAATGCCCATAAAAGATTTGGTTAAGAACTAGTGGGGGGGTGGTGAGATTGGCAATTGAGGGAAACTGCCAGGGGAGGGGGGCACACTTCATCAACAAGGATACCTGCATAACAAACATTTGTATACCTAACCCTGAATTGTACCCCATATCTTTAAAATTAAAAATTAAAAAATTTTTAAAAAAGAACTAGTCCAAAGCACTGACTGTTGCTCTTACGGGTGGCATTCAGCTGATTTGACTTTTCTTTGTCTTCTATATTAGCTTCCAGATTTGGAGACAGGAATTACAGACTTTAGTTTTTGAACTTTGCAGAGGTTAGAAAGCCCCAGTGAGAGATCCTTGGACTATGTGTGTGTCACTGAAGGCCCAACTCCTCTGTTTGAGCTGTTTCTAGTTTGAACAAGATCCCAGTGAGGAGGGCCCAGAGGTGTGGGGGAGAGATGCAGCCCGGTTTGGGACAAGTCCCTAGGAAGCTGTACTCTTGCAGAGGCCAACTGGGGAAACTGAGCCATGCTGTAGGGGCGAGGAGAGGTCTGGAATTGGTGTCCCTTGAGTTCCCTCCTATCCCACTGTCTGTGGGCCTGCCACGCCAGTGGGATAGGAGGGAACTCAAGGGACACCAATTCAATCCACAATTCGGTCTCCCTGCTGTGCTCAGACCTCTGTCCTGGAAGGGAGTTTTGGCCTCACTAATTCTGTATAGGGCAAGGGTAAGATGGAGGTTCTTCAGGAAAAGAATGAAAGGGGGTTGCTACCCACCATGGGTGTAGGAGTGTTGGTGTGGAAGGTACAGAAAGGATTCTACCTTGGCATCATCAAAGCAATAAAGTGAGCTTTTTTTTTTTTTTTGAGTCAGGGTCTCACTCTGTGGCCCAGGCTGGAGTGCAATGGCATAATTATGGCTCACCACAGCCTCGACCTCCTGAACTCAGGCAATTCTTCTGCCTCAGCCTCCCAAGTAACTGGGAATACAGGCGTGCACCACCATGCTGGGCTATTTTTTTTGTAGAGATAAGGTCTTGCTATGTTGCCCAAGCTGGTCTTAAAATCCTGGGATCCAGTGATCCTTCCACCTTGGCCACCTAAAGTTCTGGGATTATAGGCATAAGCCATTGCATCCAACCTAAAATAAGCTTTTAAAAACAAAATGGGACTGTTCTGTAATAATGTTTATCAGCTTGTTTTCTTTTTGCAATAAGCCATGGACATGTTTCCCAATCAATATCCAAAAAGCTGTGGTTCTCAACAGGTTTTGAAAGTTTTGGAGCCGGCCTTGGGGGCTCAGCCTGTAATCCCGCGCCTTTGGGAGGCTGAGGTGAGTGGATTGCCTGAGCCCGCGGGTTCGAGACCCACCTGGGCAACTTGGCGAGACCTCATCTCTACAATAAATCCAAAAATTAGCCAGGCGTGGTAGCGCGCGCCTGTAGTTCCAGCTACTTGGAAGGCTGAGGCGGAAGGATCGCCGGAGCCCAGCAGGTGGAGGCTGCGGTGGCCAGGAGCGGCCACTGCACTCCAGTCTGGGCGAGAGTGAGACTCCAACTCAAAAAAAAAAAAAAAGTTTTGGGGAGTATTTTTTATCATCATAATGATGAGAGCACTACTGGCACCAAGTGGGTGGAAGCCAGGGATGCTAGCAACCCTGAAATGGGCAGGACAGTTCTGCACGATGAACTTTCCAGCATCCACAAGACACTGGAAGGTCTCATGGGAATCGGTTCCTAAATCTGAGTCCCGAGCTTACCATTGTGTTACATGTAAAGGCAACATATCTTTGGCAGGGTTCTGATCTACTCGGAGTATAGAAATGTTATGTTATCTATGAATTTCATGTAGGGCATTAAAAAGGGGTGTTATACAATATTTATTATTTTTAAATGGGTGTCAGGTCTGGAAGGGTCAAGAATTCTCACTATAGAATGAGTGCAGTCTTTTGGTTTAATTTTTTTTTTTTTTTTAGTAAGGGTCTCACTCTATGGCACAGGCTAGAGTGCAGTGGCAGGATCACAGCTCACTGCAGCCTCTACCTCCTGGGTTCAGGTAATCCTTCCACCTCAGCCTCCTTCGTAACTGGGACTACAGGCTTATGCTACCATGCCCAGCTAAGTTTTTGACTTTTTGTAAAGATAAGGTCTCATTATGTTGCCCAGGCTTGTCAAGAACTCCTGGGCTTAAGCACTCCTGCTACCTCAGCCTCCCAAAGTACTGGGATTACAGACGTGAACTTGCCAAGTGCAGTCTTTTAGAAGGGCTGCTTAGCCTTTTAAATGGGTGTCATCAGAATGTGTTCAACCAATCTCTGCAAGACCATTGGGTTGAAATTGGTCTTGCACAGTCACAATGACACTTCTTGTGCACATTTGCTTCACACTCGTGTTTGTATTTCTATAGGATCAATTACTAGATGTAGCATTGCTGGGTTAAAATTAAGGAATGCAGGCCAGTGCAGTGGCTCACACCTGTAATCCCAGCACTTTGGGAGGCTGAGGCAAAAGAGGATTGCCTGAACCTGGGGGTTCGAGACCAGCCTGTGCAATTTGTATTGTAGAGACCTTGTCTCTACAATAAAACATAAAAACTAGCCAGACATAGTGGTGCATGCCTGTAGTTTCAGCTACTTGGAAGGCTGAGGTGGAGGGATCACCTGAGCACAGCAGGTTGAGGCTGCAGTAGCTGTGAGTGTGCCACTGCACTCCACCTGGGTGACAGAGTGAGACTCTGACTCAAAAAAACATATATTAAGGAATGCATTTTTTTTTTCATTTTACTACATTTCAGATTGTCTTTTAGAAAAGGTTTATACCCACTGATGGCGTATGAGGATCCCTGTTTCTCATACCCTGGCCAGCACTCACCAAAATGTTTAAAGTCATTAAAATGTTTGCCAGTCTGAAAAGAAGAATGGTGTCTTATTTTTATTCTCAGCTTTTTGATTCCAAGTGAAGTGATGTGTTATTAAAAATCCAGCACTTCTGTCCATGGGAAGGCTGTGCCCTTGAGAATAAATGGGGTCTTTTAGGGGCTGTGTCCTAAAAGGACGCCAATTAAGATACTTTTTCTCTTGTGAATGCAGGACGGGAGGAGGCTAGGCTGCATTGTCCCCGAGGCCCCTGGCCTGGTCCTGACAATCCCTTTGCCTTCTGCAGGAAGCCTGGAAGCACGCGATCGAGAAGGCCAAGCGCATGCCCGACCCCTGGGCTGAGTTCCACCTGGAGGACATTCCCGCAGAATGTGCTACTCGGCACAGGTCAGCAACTTGTCTCTGGGGGCCTCAAGGAGTCCTGGAGGGTACGGGTCCTGCTTCAGCTCATACTCATTGAGACCCAGGTACCCTTGGGGGTCAGGAAAAGGGAGTAGTAATAACAGCAGCCTTTACTGGAGTGTTTATGCATACTTAAGGCCATGTGCACCACCTCACTGAATCCTTCTTGTGGTCCTACAAGGTACCTATTAGATGGGCTAGGCAGGGCTATGCCAGCGTGACAAATACCCCGGGGGCTTCAAGCAAGGAAGGTGAATTTCTCATGCACTGGAAGTTGGGTGAGAGTTGAACAACGCTTCAGAGCAGCTGGGGATCCAGGCTTCTTCCATCTTGGCCCCATCATTTCAACACGGGCCCTCACCAGAGGGGGAGATGGAGCACAGAGGCAGTACACCAGCTTTTCAATGACCTGATGCAAGAAGTGGCATCATTTTGCGTGCATTTCGTTGGCGAGATCTAGTTACACAGCCCCGTCTAGCTGTGGGGGGCTGAGAAGCGTGCCCTGCCCTGTCCACCTTTTTTGCAACGTGTCCCTGCTTCTTTGAGGAGATGGCTTCAGAGCCCTGAAGCACCTTCTTCTTCCCCTCTCAGCAAGTAGGCCCATCTCCTGTTGAGTCTGTGGTCTGTGCTTGGCAGCTGAGGTCAGCATTACAGGCATCCCAGTAGTGCAGGGTATGTGTTCCATTTCTTTCTGCAAGAGCACAGTGGGAGCTGGTTGGTATATTCTCCAGGAGGAGAATAGCGGACCACACAGGCTGGTCTCTGGGATTGCCAGTCTGGAAAGCAGAATGCATGTACTAGTGTGGCTCTACGTGGCTGGGATCTCAGACCTGGCCAAACTATGTTTAGTTCCTAACCAAAGTGGCTGACTTCACTTGCCCTGGCTGTTGGCAGTGTGAGGCTGGGCATTGATCCCAGAATCTCTAAGATTTCTTTTCTTCTTTTTTTTGAGAAAGCAGGATTGAGAGGACAGAAAAACTCCCACAGTGGGAGGGTACCTGAAGGGATTACCCGAATCTCTGAGATTTCTATATTGGAGGCTTCTTTCTTCAACCCTGTTTTTTTAAGAACGCTGGTGGCAAGACAAATTTCCTGTTCATGTGAGTTGCACCCAGGCTGGTTAAGGGCAAGACTCTGGTTCAAACCAACCTGCATCTGAATCCTGGCTCTCAGGCAGGTTACTTCACCTCTCTGGGCCTTAGTTTCCTCATCTGGAAAATGGGCACAGTAATTGTAGTAATCTCACTGGGCTGCTGTGAAGTTTGAATGAAGTGATTCATTTAAGCATCCAGCAAATAGAGTGTTCAGTGAACTTTGAGCAACTCTTACCTTTATGATATGAATGACTGTGAGTGACAAATAAGTCCCTTCTGATGTTGCTATCTTTCCGACCCCAGCTTCTGGGTGCCTCTCAGTTTGAGGTCTCTTTTGGAGGTGAGAGAGGATTATTTCCTTACCATATGGTAACAATAATAATCATCATTGCTTACAATAATCATTTATCACTACTCTCAATAAGCACAGGAGTTGGGGGTGCTGACCCCTTGTGCAACTGAAAATCCATGTGCAACTTTTGACTCCCCAAAACTCAACTAATAGCCTACTTTGGACCAGAAGCCTCACTGATACAATAGTCAATTTAAAAACACACAAATTGATTAGTATCTTTTTAATTTATTTCAACAGCGTTAGGGGGTACAAAGAGTTTTTGGTTACATGGATGAATTGTATAGTGGCAAAGAAGTCCGGGCTTTAAGTGTATCCACCACCCCCACCTGTGAAATTGACTAGTATCTACATATAGTTTATGCACTCATGAAAAGACCTAACATTTTAAAATGTTCAAAGTTCTAGGCTAGCTGTTTACCTGTTAGTTTTTTCAAACTTGCAAATCTTTAGAAAATTTTCCAATATATTTATTGAAAAAAGTTCATGTATAAGTGGAGCCATACGTTTCAAACCTGTGTTGTTCAAGGATCAACTGAACTTGCCACAGGCTGGTGCCAACAAGTTTTCAGCTCTGAGGAGCTCTTCTAGCGTTTAGCCTAGGGGAGGTTACCCACCAGGCCTCTGCTTGTTTTTCCTGGTAAATCCTCGGAGAAACCTGTTCTTACCAAGGCTGGGAGTGTACTGGAATCTTCTCTTGCAGAGGGATGGGCCTCCAACTAGAGCTAAGAACACCTCAGCCCAGAGGGAGGTTTTAGACTTTGGAGAGCTACCAAGTTGAGGAACTTTCTACCACGCAAACCTACCTGGCCCAACCAGGCCCAGGGGCTGATTTTCTCTGGGAGAGGAGATTACTGGGACAGGAGAGAGGGAAATCTTCTAGAACCCTTTCCAAGCTCTCTCTGCCTTGGGTGTATACCCATCTGTGGCAAAAACAAATTCAGTTTTTTCTACCATATTCTTACAGCACAGAATGCTTTGGTGACCTCAGAGTGTTGGGGGAGATTCTCCCCACCAGCAAGCAAACAATCAAATCTGCAATAGACACTAGTGGGGTATTCTCTGAATTCAATTCCAACATCACTTGCCTGGAGATAGTGTCACATCCCACAAGGTGAGGGCTCAGTCCCACGAAGACTGTCTCTCACTTCTGATACTGATCGCAAGCCCGAGGTTGTTTTACCTGTGCTTCTGACCGACCAGCTATCAATTGAGGTTCCCACACTCTCCTCCTTGGGTTCAGTTAATTTGCTGGAGCAGCTTATAGAACTCGGGGAAACAACTTATTATGACTGGTTTATTACCGAGTATCCACAGATGAAGAGATGCCTAGGGTGAGGTATGGGGGAGGGAGTGTGAAGCTTACATAACCTTCTCCAGATATTCAGCCCTCCAGAAATGTCCATGTATTCCGCTCTCCAAACCCTGTCCTTTTTGTATTTTCATGTAGGTTTCATTATGTAGGCATGGTTAATTAAACCACTGGCCATTGGTGTCTACTCAACCTCCAGCTCCTCTCCACTCCCTGAAGGTTGGAGAATGGGGCTGAAAGTCCAACCTCTAATCCTGTCTTGGTCTTCTCCATGACCAACCTCCTTTCTGAAGCTACTTAGGGACTGCCAGCCACCAGTGAACTCATTAATATACCCAAAAGATATCACTTTGGAGATTCTAAGGGTTTTAAGAGTTGAATGTCAGGAAATGGGATCCAAGACTAAATATATACTTTATAATATCACAACCCATTGTGGGGGCTCAGAAGTTGATACCCCAAAGTGAAGACCTCTCTCTCTGACCTTCCCCTGCCCTCCTGTCTCTCACCTCTCATTGTCCCCTGAGGCAAGCCATTAAAACTAGAATTCCTCTTCCTCAATGCCCATCATATAAACCAGAAGCCCTTTTCCCAAAGCCAGCTATAAAGCCTAAAAATATTCCTCTAACATTCTCCCACCTTTCCGTGTAACAGCTGGCCTTAAAGAAATCAAGACTCTCATTCCAGAGGGTTTTTATGCCATACCCAGGAGGAAGAAATCACAACAGAAAGGCCAAGGATAGGGACGGGCCTTGCTGGGTTCCCCACTCAGTCGATTACCATTAGCTCATACCATTTTGTCCAGTCCATAGCTGTCCAGACTCGATAGCTGTTCCTACTTCACTGAGTCTAAGCGCAAAATCAGATCGTTTCCCCTGTATCTTTGGGTCTTCATTCTGAAGACTCCCATGTCACATAAAACTATGATCAAATAAACTTGTTATGCTTTTGTTAACTTATCTTTTGTTATAGGAGTGTTGGCCATGGCCCTTACAATGGGGACGAAAGGGCTCACCCCTTTTTCATCCCTACACCAGGCAGCCCCTTTCCTGGCTGGACTCGGAAACAGGACCTCCCCGGACTCCATGCACACCTACACAGGATAATTGTTACTTCTTGAGTGATGTGTCCAGCTACATGGGCCGGGCCTTGCCCAGGGGCCGGGCAAGATTGGGGCATCCACAGCATAGGCCAGTTATAATCAGGATCTTCATTTATTTATTCAGTCATTTCATCAATGTATGAATGATTAAGCATCCACACACATCAGGCCCTAGATAAGCAAGACAGACACAGGTCAGCTTTTGTAGAGATGCAGTCCAGCGGGGGAGCCAGTTGCAGAACACACCAGCATACAGCACAGCAATGAGTGCGGCGGATACAGAAATGGGAACACAGTGGAGAGGGAACAGTGAGTTTTAGGAAAGACATGAAGGCCAGTGTGGTGGGGCCTGGCAGGGAGGAGGGTGTACATAAACCATCCCAGGAGGTGGGCTGGGCTGTGGGCCAAGGTAGACAGTGGACTGGATCCTGAGGGCAGGGAGGAGCCCAGAAGGGTCTCTGTCCTTTATCCAGTGAGGGACAGGACTGTGTTATGGATGCTGTGCTCTGGGTGGGCTCTGGTCTCTGCAGGTACAATGCTGTCACCGGGGAGTGGCTGAAGGATGAAGTCCTGATCAAGATGGCATCTCAGGTGAGCAGGGCCTTGAGCCCTGTGGGGACAGGACTGAGTGGTGCTTTCTCCAGCTGAGCTCCACACCCACTTTATTTATTTATTTTTTAACTTTGGAGATTTTTTTTAACATTATTGTATTTTTAGTAGCAGCTTTATTGAGGTATAATCCGCATACCATACAATTTACACATTTAAAGTGTATGGTTTGATGGTTTTTAGTATAATCACAGAATTGTTTAACCGTCACCACAATCAATTTCAGAACATTTTCACCCTCCCCAAATGAAATCATATCCCCTCATCTCTCCCCAGTCCCTGGCAATCATTATTTTCTTTTTTGCTTGTTTGTTTATTTTTGTTTTTTTGTTTTGGGGTATTTTTTTTTTGAGTTGGAGTCTCACTCTGTCACCGAGGCTGGAGGGCCACCGCAGCCTCGACCTACTGGGCTCAGGCAATCCTTCTGCCTCAGCCTTCCAAGTAGCTTGAACTATAGGTACACACTACCACACTGGCTTATTTTTTTTTTATTTTTTTATTGTAGAGATGAGGTCTCACCAAGTTGCCCAGGCTGGTCTGGAACCCATGGGCTCAGGCAATCCTCTCACCTTGGCCTCCCAAAGTGCTGGGATTATAGGTGTGAGCCACCATGCCCAGCAGATTTTTTTTCCCTCTCTCTATAGATTTGCCTATTCTGGGCATTTCATGTATTAAGATAGTATCCATTAAAAGATTATAAGATTATTCTTGGCACTCTTGTTGGAAATCAGTGTGTGTGTGTGTGTGTGTGTGTGTGTGTGTGTGTGTGTGTGTGTTTTAAAAAATTGCTAACTGGGCATGATGGCACACACCTGTAATCCCAGCACTTTGAGAGGCCAAGATGAGAGGATTGCCTGAGCCCACAGGTTCGAGACCAGCCTGGACAACTTGGTGAGACCTCACCTCTACAACAAATCAAAAAATTAGCCGGCTGTGGTGGTACATGCCTATGGTTCCAGCTACTTCGAAGGCTGAGGCAGAAGGATTGAGTGAGCCCAGCAGACCAGGGTTGCAGTGAGCCACGATTGTGCCACTGCACTTCAGCCTGGGCAACAGAGTGAAACTCTGACTAAAAAAAAAAATTGTTAATCACTGCCTGTTATGAGTTGTTAAATTAAGTGGGTTGCAACCAGCCTTTTGAAAAAATTAAAAGAGGAAAACAGACTAGAGAATAGAGTGCTTACTGCATAATGAAGGTAAGAATTGTTTTGTGAAACATTTTTTAGTATAACATACATACAGAAAAATGTACAGCTTGATACGTTTTCACAAAGCGAACACACTGCATCGCCAGCTCCCAGATCAAGAAACAGAACGTAACTAATACCCACTAAGCCCCCTCAGTCACTAACCCCCTGCCCCCAGTGATAAGCACCACCCTACATTCTCTTACCCTAGGTTAGTTTTGCCTATGTTTGCACTTCACATAAGTGGAACCACACAAAGGTGTTTTTTTGCCCAACATTTTGTATTTATTCTCATCACTGTAGTATTTCACTGAATGAATAGACCTGGTTGATTGCAGTACTTTGTCGATGGACACTTAGGGTGGTTCCACTTTTTTTCTGAAATAGACAGCAATGCAAAAACATTCTTTGACATGCTGTGTCCCTCCCCTAACATCCTGTCCCTGTGGGTTCTTCCCTTCATCTGGGCTGGAGGAATGGGGTGGTCCTTGTTATCCCAGCAGCCTCTGGGCTGGAGGGCCTATCAGGCTTTGGCGCTGAGGCGCAGGAGGGAGTGTCCAGGGACTTCAGGATCGAGATGAGGTCCAGGGCTTCCATTTGGTGTGTGGTGTGTAAGGGAAACATTTCCTGGCCCAGGGCTGCTTCTGGGTGGGGCTTGGGGACTGATAACTCTCATGTGGTCTCTTTCAGCCCTTCGGCCGAGGAGCGATGAGGGAGTGTTTCAGGACGTAAGTGACTCAGCATAGGGCTTGAGGCCCTACACAGGCTCCCCCAGGATCCTAACAGCTGGGACATTGGGACATTTTCAGCCAAGGAATGGAGACAGTGGCCTCTGCTTTCCTGTAGCTTAAGCTCCTCTTCATCTGGTCTCCCTTGGGTCACACATGGGGTTTGTCTATAGAGATGGGTTCAGGAAGAACAGGGAATATCCCCCTGATCTCTGCTCTGATGTTTGGAGGTCAAGATAATGGGATAAGAGACCTTTGACGATGACCTCTAACCCTCCTTTCCAGCTCCTTGAAGGATGCAGTGGGGGCGAGAAAGCCCTTCCCTCCTTCTGCATTTTGTTCCCGCTTCCAGCCAGCCAGCCAGCTAGGTCAGGCAGGGTCTTCCTGTCCTGTGGACCCAGGACTGTGTTTCTGGTGAACCCCAGAGTTCCCAGATGAGCTTCCTCCTCCCTCTCCCCCCAGGAAGAAGCTCTCCAACTTCCTTCATGCCCAGCAATGGAAGGGAGCCTCCAACTACGTGGCTAAGCGCTACATCGAGCCTGTGGATAAGGACGTGTACTTTGTGGATGTGCGTCTACAGATGGAGGCCAAGCTCTGGGGGGAAGAGTATAATCGACACAAGCCCCCCAAGCAGGTGTGTGGCAACCTGACCTGCCCTCTTCCTATGCCAAATGTTGATGAAAAGATGCTAAACTCTATAAAATATTTTAAGATGGCTTATTCTGAACCAAATTTGAGACTGTAAACTCAGGAACACCCATCCTCAGAAGGGCCTGAGAACATGTGCCCACTGTGGTTGAATGGTGGCTTGGTTATATACATTTTAGGAAGGCAGAAGTTACATGAAACCATAAATCAATACATGTGATGCTTTCATTGGTTTGGCTCAGGAAGGAGGGACATTTCCAAGTGGGGGAGCTTGCAAATCAAAGGTAGATTCAAATATTTCTTGACTGGTAATTTGTAGTTCCTATCTAAGGAATTTGGGAAATCAGTAGAGGAGATGCTTTATTAAGATAAGAGGGTGGCCGGGCTCGGTGGCTCAGCCTGTAATCCCGCGCCTTGGGAGGCTGAGGTGAGTGGA